ACCCCAAAGACATGGCAGGAGGATGAGCCTCATGTTGGTCACAGAGAGCATTGCAGAGAGGACATGGACATGTACCCAAGAAACGGGGTATTTGAGAATTCCCTACAGCCCTGGCTCCTCCCCTCTATCCAAAATCCTGCCTCCATTCCCCCTGACTCAGCAACTTGGCAAAGCCAAACCTCTGCCAGGAATCTTGTGCCATTAGCACCACGTAGGCTGTAGGATTGTGAAATTGGACTGTTTTGGGAATCTGATGAGCAAACAATCCTCTCAGCTCAGCTCATTCTGGACCATCAAAGGCAGGGATGGAAGCAAACATGGAATTCTGAGTTACCTTCCAGTGCCTAGGCAGAGCTGGGAAAGTGAATTTCATACCTTGCCACTAATTCAAAAACAAAAGAACCATTTTCTGGTGAAAAAACCAACAACTCTTAAGAAGAGTTTATCTTTTTTTCCCACTTTTTCTCTCATATTTGTCCCAAGAGGAGGGTAATGTTTGTGAAATTCTGTGGTACTGTTTCTCTGTGTTCAGTGTTCAGTTCATTCTCCTGGTCTTAGGGATGCTAAAGAGGCAAGTAGCAAGTTCCACAATCATAGAGATTGGAAGGAACCATCTTGTCCAACCTCCCTGCTAATGTGGGCTCCCAAGAGTAGATTGCAAAAGAGGGGACAGACAGTTTAGCAGCGTGTGCTTTGGCAGGACAGTGAGAAATGGTTTCAAACTAAAAGAGGAGATTCAGATTGGATACAATTTTTTTATTTTTATTTTTATTTTTATTTTTATTTTTATTTTCATTTTTATTTTTACAATTAGGGCAGTGAGGCACTGGAGAAGTGGTGGAGGCCCCATCCCTGAATACAATCAACATCAGGCTGGGCCAGGCTCTGAGCAACCTGACTGAGCTGTAGATGTCCCTGTTCATTGCAGGGGAGTTGGATGAGATGACCTTAAAGGGTCTCTTTTAGCTCATATTATTCTGATTCTATGAAAGCATTGAGGTGGTTTTGAATATCTCCAGAGGAGACTCCATAGCATATCTGGGGAACTTGCTCCTGTGCACCGTGACCTCAAAGTAAAGAAACTTGTCTTCATATTCAGATGGAAATTTCTGGAATCCAGTTTGTACCCATTCATTGTCCTTGTCACGTATCTGGATATGACCAAAAGAGTTCATCCGCTTCACTCCCTTTAGATGTTAACAAATGTTGATAAGGTGCCCTGTTTGTCTTCTCTTCTTCATGCTGATCAGTCCCAGGGCACTCAGCATTTCTTCCTAGGGGAGATGCCCCAGGCCATGATCACTGTTATGGCGCTTTTCTGGATTCTCTGCAGTAGTTCCCAGTTTGCCTTGAACTGAGGAGCTCAGAATCAGACACAGCGTTCTGGATGGGGTCTCCTAGGGCAGAGTAGAGGGGGAGGATCATTTCCCTCAGCCTGCTGGTCATACTCAATTTAATGCACCCCAGAATACCATTGGCCTTCTTGGCCACAAGGGCACACTGCTGGCTCGTGGCCTCCTGGATGCCCATGTCCTTCTCTGCAGAGCTCCTTTCCAGCAGATCATCCACTACGCTGTACTGATGTGTGCAGTTATCCCTCCCCCTTTGGAGGACTCCATCCTTGCCCACGTTGAAAATCATAAGGATCCTCTCTGCCCAACCTCATGAGGTTCCTTGCCCAGGTCCATCCATGGGGATGGATCACTCATGGCCAGGTAGAGACACGATGCTGCAGGGATATGATGATGCTTCTATCATGTGTGGGATCTTCCTCATGACAAATTTTTGTGCCTGGAAAACGCATTTAGATAGCTTGCGTGCTCAGCAGACATCATCTATCACCCCTTAGAGCTGGCTGAATTCATTTTATAGCTTCAGACACTTGTACCAAGATGTCCAAGAAGAAAATACAGCTACAGATGAATTTCAACCAGAGTGTGCATTAGTTGGAAAAGCTGAAGAATTACTTCGTCCGTGATGAACTGCTCTGCTTAGAGTGTGCAACCCAGGGACTGTTTACAACACATCATTCATGTTCATATTGCATTTCATAGCAAGTCTGTGTATCATCACAACCACTTCAGTGCAGCTGAGCTCTGCCTCCATCATGGTAGGTCTCAAGCAGGCCAACTGCTGGGCAACTGCTGGCAAACACCTTTCTTGAAGGCTGATGCCTACATCCAGTCACTGATGTGCAGGAGAGGTCTCAGAGCTGCTGAGAAGATGAGGGTCACACATTTTACACATAAATGAGACTTCTTGTTACAGACGTTTCAGGTGAAGTTTGTTGTTTTCACAATCCCCACATTTTATTGATTCAGTTGTGCTTTGATACTGATCCTTAGCTTCTGTCTGCCTGTGAGAGATTGGCCAGTAATTCCTGCTTTGTATTTGTAGAGTTGATTGCTTGCTTGATAGTTAAATTCAACAAACTGATGTTTGCTGATGACTCGTAGCATGTTACCTTTTGGGGGACTACAAACAGAAGCACTAGCTTTCTGCTCAATATTTTCCAGGAATTGAATTTAGACTGAATCTTCTAAAATTATCTACAGTTGCATTCTTCCTTCTCTCCCTCTCTCCCTTTCTTCTGTCCTCTCTTGGTCACATTTTCTCTTTCTCATTCATTCATTCATTCATTCATTCATTCATTCATTCATTCATTCATTCATTCATTCATTTCTAAACACATACATTAGATAAAACCAACCAGAACCTGGCACCTCCCCATATCACAAGCACAGTTAAGGATGAACATTGCCTTTTCCCCAAATACTTAATGGTGATTTTGGAAAGGATTGTGATTTTAAATTCACATCATACCTGTCTTTCCTAAGTGTACGTTCAGTATTTCAACCTGTCACTCATCTTTTTCATTATTTTAGTAGCGTGATAATGGAAGAATTTTAGCAAAAATGGAAGTGGAAATAAGTCAAAACTTCAGCACAGTTTGCACACGCTTTCACTATCTTCCCGTCCTTTCTGCTTTGCTGATAAACTCTTTCCCTACTCGTTCCCATCTTGTAAATGTGGTTTTGCAACAGAATGTTGTTACCTGCTGTACCCTTTGCTCTACCTATCTCATTTTGCACCCTTGCCTCTCTAATTTTGATCCCACATGCCATGCTATCATACTGAATCTTAGAACCTTGGCCTGATTTGCTTGTTCTGAAGAAAACTATTTTTTATTATCTCTATTTACAGTATTAATAGGATCTTGGATATAAAATGCAAGTGATGGACTGTGAGTTTCAGGTCCATGATTAAGGGAGCAGTGATTTTCTTTCTGTGGCCACTGAAATTGTAAGGGTCCTGTTGTTCATAAGACCATGGAGCTTGGTGAGATCCACTCCAGACTTCCAAAGGAATCAGCAGATGTTATAAATGGATTTATCTCAGTCCAGTAAATTCAAAGTGGGAATGTGGCATGAGGGAAGATCAGGGAAACTACAGACCTGTCCGTCTAACTTCAGCCCTTGGAAAAGTAATGAAGAACATTGTTTTGCTGCTGTTGAAGATTTCCTTTCAGTCATAGCCAGTCAACCATAGCCAGCATAGGTTCATGTGAAGTCCTATTTTATTAACTTCATCTCCTTGTATGATAAGAATGCCAATTTGGTGGATGAAAACAAAAGCTCAGCAGCAGCTTAAACACCAGTAAGGAATCAGCACTATTTTCATCAAAAATGCAGAATAGAGCTCTGTACAAGGGCTGATGGAGAAATAGTACATAAAAAGGATATACAAATCTCCCAGCCAAAACTATGATGAGAAGCATATGGATAATGCCCATAAGAGCATGTTTCAGTGATTAGTTAATTGTGAAGAGATTGGGCTGTTGGGCCCAATCATCTTTTTAGGTCCCTTCCTACTGAACTATTCTATTTTGTTCTATGCCTGACCTAATGTTTGGGTTCAAAGTGGCAATGGGACATTACAGGTGCGACCACTGTCTCTCATGATCTCCATGCTGCATCCCACAGACGACCCTGTGCTGGAGCAGGTGGATCAGACCCCAGCTCTGATGCATCTCCTCAGGAAAGCATGAAAATAAGCTAAGTGTCTTGATTTTACTGCAGCCACACATTTGATTTGTCCAGTGCATTCACACCAGGGAAAGCAGTGACTTTGGCTGCTTTAGCATCATCATCATCAGTTTGTTATCAACTTGGGACGACAAAGACCTCCTGTGTCTTTAACCAGGTGATCAGTTTCTCTGAAGATAATAAGTGTCTGTGCTGTCTCCTAATAACATCATCACCGTGTTCTGAGGATCCAGATTTAGTATCATTATCATTCCTAGTGTAAAAAAGAGTATGAAGAGTGTGGCTTTGTGCAGCCAAGGTGGGAAAGAGCTTATACCCAAACTTTGGTGGGTTAGTATCACACAGAGCACCTGGGCAGCAATGCTCATACTTCGCACTGCTTGCTTTGGAGATGCTCTTCACTCCACATTCTGACAATAGTTTTGCTGTGCTCCTCAGATCAATATATTTGAGATAGTGGGATCTTAAGAAGCCTGTCACGGCTGTTTTCTATGGGATGAAGATTAGATGTGAGAACTGAAACAAGTTACTAAAGAGATTTTGTTTGGGACCTGACATCAGTGCATTAATGCAATGCGAAATCTGGTGGTGGATCCGAGGTGAGAACATTCAAGGGCATAAAATACAAATGATGGCTTCCCCTGAGCACAGAGTTTAGTTTCTACATATTCATGATGTGAGTTAACTGGAGAAACAGCAATCATGAAAATAACTCTTCAGCTGGAACACCTGTATTTGCTGCATTTTCCATACGCTCTTCTCTTGCTGGAAAAGGAGTTTAAGAGGCTTAAAACTTCTTTTCCAGTAGCCAACAAAGCCTTTCGGTCATCTTATATCGAATAAAAGGCTTTTGTATGCATCATTGCTCATCGCATCAGGCCTGTATCTAATGCTTAAATATCTCCAAGGTCAAACTGGGTACCATATGTGCACTGAATGATGTTGGAGACACCACACAGTGCTTAACTCATCTTTATTCGGATATGAACATAGCCTGTTGCCCCACAAGCTGCTTGATAATCAGTTTCTACAAAGTCTGGCTAAGGTACTGACCCAAACCCACAATATTAGCAGGCTGGTGGGAGAGTAATAATCATGCTTGGTGTAGAATGCATCACACATAGCTCGAATGCAAACATATAAATAAGGCAATCAGCACACGAGCTAGATCATTCTACTGTAGTTTATAAAAGAGGAAACAATTTTGACCATATCTTTGTAGGCATCTGCTAATGCTGTGCCACATATCCTTTATTTCTAAGCTCCCACGCTAATGATCATTAACCAGAATGAGATGGGCCTGAATGGGTCCACCATAAACACGTCAGTCTGCACTGCCAACTAGGTTAATAGTCTTACTATATGTTGGGTCACTTTCTAGCTATGACATTGCACAACATGAACATGCCAGACCTACCAATATGGAAGGCACTGCTCACTGTCCATAAGATAACTTTCTATGGCTGAATAGATCAGGTTGTGTCTGGCCAAGGCTGGAGTCATGCCTAAGTGACTCTGGCAGGATGTCCAGGAAGTAAAGCTGTGGGTATTTTACAAGCTGTATTTTGGCACTTGCAAAGAGCTGGGTTTCCCTGTATGCTCTGTGGAGGCTTGGAGATACACACATCACAGAACCGTGTCTGAGCCAAAATGCACAAAAGTCTTCCCCTTCTTTGATATCACTAAGTCCTTCTGTAGGGTTTGACATAGACAAAAAGTCTTTACAAGTCTGACTATCTGCAATGCACTTGGCCATGATCCTGCTGGTTCTTGGGTAGAATCTCAGGAAGTTCCTGTTCTGCAGCACATATTTCCCATTCACTGACTATGCTGAGCTAGTAAATCCCCATGATACAGCACACAGTTGGCTTTGCTTCATTTAAACTCATCACTTAGTTTAGTTTCTATGAGAATAGATCAACAGTAGATCAACAGAGGTGCACTGGCAACACTGCCTTGTACAGACATTCTTTCCCAGGAATTCAATCCTGTGCAATACCCAGACCTGACAGTGTACATCATGCTTGGAAAAACTCCATGGATTCAGAGCACCCATGTATTGGGAACTGCAAATAGAAAGGACACCTCCGCACTCATCCCCCTCCCCATTTTCTCTGCTGCTCTCCTGCTACCCCAGGAAAACATCTCAGCTGGTTGCAGCTACCAAAAAAGTTGCTCTGCTTCATGTTGCAGACATTTATACCCCAGGATTCAACTCCCTGTGTCCAGCAGCAACCCATTACCCCTGTTGCCAATAGATGGCTGATACTCATTACTCAGATGGCCTCAGTTAGGTCTGGATCCTGGTCTCTGTCCCCAGGAAAGGCCACGTCCAAACCCCTCATCTTCTCCTGGTAGATTCTGTTGAAGGTCTGACTCCGTGCCACTGTGAAATGGTTCTTCCAGTCCCCACAGATGCCTGAGGAAGGAATATTTCTATTTCAGAGCACACACCACTGGGCAATCCTCTTTCCTGCACAGTTTTTGGGTGCACTTACCACTGTGAAGAGCAGTCCAAAATGAATAGCCATCCCTATGGACACAGTTGTGCACATCCTACTGACGTCCTCCCCGTTGGCTCCCCATTGGGGCACCAAAACCCAGCACTTCGATGGGGACCTCTCTACTCACCCTTCCTCAGGAACTGGCCTTTGGTCTGGTCCATGATGTCTGCAGGGAGCAAGATGGAGCTGCACATAGGGTTTTGCCTCATGGCCGTGAAGGAGGCATTTTGGACTACTGAGGAGATAGCATCGTCATCCAAATTCTGTCCCAGAAAATGGCAGAGGCGTCTCACACTGCCTTGCAGGTCCTTAGGGACACAGAATAAGCCTGTTACCACCTACGGTGACACATCAGCACACTGGGAGCAGGGGGGTCTGCCAAGATCACTACCTGTTTCAGCTCTTCGTAGGTGATGAAGAAGAAATTCTCCCTGTCCTTCATCTCCATCCAGCCTCGGACATGTTCAAACCAGGAGCCATGGGGCACTGATGGGAGACAGAAGGCAGTAAGCCTATGGGGTGATCATGGCATGGCATGAGGTGTGCAGGGAAGAGGAAGGGCCTCATTAGGCAGGGAGAAGTTAACAAGATGCAAAACTGAGCAACAGCATCCTGAAATCAGGTGTGACTGAGAGGTTCAGTTGTTGCAGATGAGCAATGGGGTCTTCTCCAGCCACCTTTCTGCTGCTGTTTCCTTGCTCAAACAGATGTTGTTGAGACAGTGCTGCTTCCTCATCCTGCAAGCACAGGAGCAGGGACAGACACAGACCGTGCTCAGAGAAGGGAGAGACAAATAGCAAGGAATGATACTGGGGTAGATCTGTGAATGTAAGGGGTCTGCTGGTCAAGATTTCCAAGAGAAAAATGAAATCTGTAGAAGGCAGGCAAATTAAAAATCAAATTTGTGTGCTTTTTTGTGCCTTGCTAGGCACTTCACCTCCCTCATAGAGGAAGTTCTGTTTCACAGGCATCATCAGTGGACCATATGAAAAGATTGCAGAGATAGAGGTGATAAGGAAGCCCCAGCATGCCCTGAGAGAGCACAAACCACACTCACACTCTCCACTGAGAAAGTCCCTTAAGAACTGCTCAAAGGACACAGGGTCCTCATAGCTGTTGCACATCTGGCAGAAGTAGAAGTAGGAGACAACAACGTCTCGAGGATCCCGTAGGGTGTAGATAACCTGGGGGAGAGTGCATACAGGAGTAAGATGCTCAGAGAAGGGAAAGACAAATTGCAGGCAACGGCACTGGGGTAGATCTGCAAATGGAAGGGTCTGTCAAAGGAGGATCAATTCAGTGCAAGATACAATAATGCGGACCTCAGGCAAGGGTTGAGGAACACATAGGCTCATTAGAGCCACTGGAGGTCCCCCAGAATATCCAAAGGTGCAGATGTGAGATGGGGGCTTGCATATTTCCATTCAGAGGGTGTGTAGGATGCCCTAGAAGGGTCCTCATCCAAGGTCCATCATTGTAATGTTTCCCAGATGGGCATTGCATGGGCAATGGTCCTCCCAGGCTCCCCTTCAGAGGCACTGCATGAACAGCCACCCCACAAGGGCATATACAGCAGATATGTCGGATATACGTTGGATTCTATGATCCCACCTTGGCAGTGGAATGGGAGAAAGACTTGGGGAAGATGTGCCTGGGGAGGTGGCAGGTCAGCAGGCGAGGTGAGGGGTAGCTGAGGGCTGCCTCCAGACCCAGGCGGGTTGAGAACCAAGGCATGCGGTCAGAATTGAGGACAGTTTGGTTCCAGCTGGGGTGGCCTTGGCTGCGAATGAGGCTCAGGATCTCAGTCATCCACACGGTGCCTACCAGGTACAACAGAAATACAGAGCAAGGGATTTGCCCAGGGCTTCAGGATGCTTGGACCTCAGCAACAATGTCACCATCAAGTCTGTTCACCTTGAAGAAACTGCCTCCTGCCCATGCACAACCACTGTGCTATAAATACATACGTACATGTATCTCTCACCCAAAGCATTCCTGTTCCCATCAAAAGAACAGATTCACCTTCTGAACAACAGCTGAACTCTCCCACAACCCCACAGACCTTCTGCCATAGACCTGCCCACAAAACCGATCCAGAACAACTCTCCCAGCCTCTCTGTCCTCCCTTGGACATCCCCGTGGTACCAGATTTAGGGTAGGTGATGTTGAAGACGTCGTCGTCCCGCACCAGGAACTCGTTGTGGGCAAAACTCAAGCTGTGCTCAGAGTTGTAGGCTGGAGGGAATTTAATGCCTTTGTACGTCACGTAGTGCACCGGCATCGTGCTGGGATGGGAATTGGGTGCTGCAGCTCTGCAGGCCTGTAACAGGGAGAGAAAGGGATAGAGCACTGAACTCCAGATAGGAAATGTCTTCCCGCATAACCAGTCCCAAAGAGGAGCAATTCCATCTCCCAGTCATCAGAAGAGCTCTGTGTTACATGAGAACACACTCAGATACTCTCCAGTCCTTCCCTATGGGGATTCAAATGAACGACTACATAAGGCATTTCAGGAGCCCTCAGGCTAAATCTCTGCTAAGGGGTCAACTTCAACTCCCCCTCCCTTGCTGCCTCATGTGTTTACCTGCCCTCACAGCTGGGATGGGTGCATAGCAGCTTTCTTAGTAAGAGCCTGGACAACCAGGGAGACAAGAGGCAGTTGGAAACACCAAGCTCTGGTTTTCTACACAAAATACAGCTTTGCTCTTCTTCCAGAAGCTGAGAGAGAATCAAAAGGGGAGGGAAATGGTTTCCTTGTTGCACATTCTGGAGCAATGATTAACGAGATCCAAAGTCCAACAGCCACCCCTTTCCTGTAAATCAGTGAGCAGAACTGGTCCTGTGTGTTCTCTGCCCCAAATCCACTGCAAGGCCACACTTTTCTTCTGTGCCCTTATGTTTCCCCATAGAACTCTCCATTTTCCTTCAAAAATATAAAATCAAACCATGAATGGCTTCCTCCTGCAGCATCTGCATTTCTTACCATTTATATATCCCACAGCTGCTCAGAAAAGCCCACAAGCACTTGAGACTCCCTATATTCATGAGCAGAAGGTCCTTTCTCTTTTGTCAAATGAGAAGCCTTTGGAACAGCATCAAAGGGAGAGGAAGAGAAGAAATTCTTCCCTCAGTGCAGCAATTTATGTTCTCTGCAGACCATTAAACAGACAGTGCTGTTTAATGCTATTAATTAGAAGCAAGCAAAGTGCAAGAAATACTTCTTGTAAAAAGGCAGCCACGTGGTCATACGTTAAATTGGAAGTATTTTCTAAATGGAAGGGATGCAGTAAGTTTTTCCTTGGGGAAAAAAAAAAAAAAGAAAGTAGTTTGACAACTTTATGTAACACAATGCACTGATTAAGTAGATCAAAAAGTAAATAAAACACATAATGCATGTCAAAAGTTTTTGAGTAGTAAATATTTTGAGTGCACAAGAGAGGTGGTTTTTAGGACAAACAACTAAAACAGTGATTTCCCTTTTGACCATGTATTGTTTTCAAAGCAAACAGGAGAAAATGGGATTAAGAAATGTTTAAACACTTCACAGAGGAATGTTAACCAACCACAGGTAAGTGGGAGTGATCAATTCACTTAACCCCTTTGTTGCTCAGTGTTGAGACACGAGTTCAACTAAACTAAAAGCTACAAGGAAAGCCACAAATCATTACAAAGAACTGTTCTTCCCTTGCAGTCCAAGGGAGACTCCACATCTTCACCTGAAGGCCTGGCTGAGCTTTTATAATTGGTGGCTAATTAACAGCTGTAGGCTTGCCTACCTCTAAAGAGAAACTATGGTAGCCTGAATGGTCATTAAAAACTTGTGCAATTAGTAGGTTTGTAAACATATTCATTTTGTTATAGTTATTTTAAAAATAAATTCATCATGTCTATTCTAGAAAGACATGTTTCATCACATTTAAAGGTATTGAAATACTATCAACATTGTCTGGTGAGTTAAGGGATAGCGAACACTGAAACAGACAACAATTAGTTGTAGATATTTTGAATTTTTCTTATTAATATATCATCCACGCTGCTGGAGCAAAAGAAAAAATCAATCAATAAAAATATATTAAACTGCAGCCAAGTTGTTCTATGTTGAACTTAAAGGCAAAAACTAAAATTGTCAATGTTTTCAAGTAAAAATATCAGCATGTAATTATTGGAAATTCTGATTTTTACATCACAACAGAAATTTAGGAGCATTTGAGAGCTATGAATGATTTAATGCTTGCTAGCCTTTCAGAGCAGAACAATGATGTGTGAATAAAAAGTTTAAGAATTTAGAAAGAAACCACAACCGTGTCCAGTGAAACCTGAATTCAAAGTAATGTAGAGTTCATTTAAATCAATTAAGGGAGTTAATTTAAATTACTGCTTTAATTTAAAATTACTTAATGAATTTGTTATAGAGAAGTCAAGGATCACAGAAGAAATAGTATTCATGCTAGAGGGAAGCAGAATTCACACGTCCAAGGAGCAATAAACCCATTGCTTCTTCTCCAAAGAGATCGAGTGGAAATTAAAAAGTAAATAAAGCACCAAAAAATGTTGATATCAGGTTTGGAACTGAAAGGAAAATAAATTTTAATTTTAATTAATTAACTAATTAATTTTCACTGATCTCACCTAAAAGTTATGCAGTGTGGGGCAATATGAGTATGCTGCTGATTTTGGCTGCACAGTTACAGCAGTTTTAAAAACTTACTCTAACTGTGGGTATCCTCTGATTAGGGTTAGGGTTATGTTTAGGGTTTGGTTTAGGGTTAGGGTAAGGGTTATGTTTGGGACTGATTAGAGTTAAAGTTAGGTTAAATTAGGGTTAGCATTAGGATCAATTAGAGTTAGGGTTAGGGTTTTGGTTAGGGTTATGTCCAATTAGGGTTAGGGTTAGGTTCAGGGCTGGGGTTATGATTAATTAGGGTTAGCATTAGGCATAGGGTTAGTGTTAAGTTTAGTGATAGGGTTAAAGTTAAGGTTCAGGTTAGTTAAGGTTTAGTGTTAGGGTGAGGGCTGGGATGACTTAGAGTTAGGTTAAGGGTTATCATTAGAGTTAGGATTAGGGTTAGGGTTTGTGGATGTTGGCAAACTTGTCTGGTTTTGGCGTGGCTTCTCAAAATCCTCCTGCTTTCACTTCCTCTCCTCTCCTCTCCTCTCCTCTCCTCTCCTCTCCTCTCCTCTCCTCTCCTCTCCTCTCCTCTCCTCTCCTCTCCTCTCCTCTCCTCTCCTCTCCTCTCCTCTCCTCTCCTCTCCTCTCCTCCTGCATTTCTTTTTATTCCCTCCTTGGAGCATATTCACATTTGTGTCTGCTTTGCCTCTTAGCAAACTCCACTCAAAGAGCTGAATCATCCTTGAAATCACCTGCAAAAACTTTTCCTGCTCTGTTCTTGTGCTGAGAAGACTGACGTTTTGTATTTGCAAAGGTGTCTGTGAGTCTGGTGATTATGCATGTTACTGGTTTATCCTAAATCTTGATGCTCACAGCAGTCTGAGTAAAAGGCATGGGAGCATTTCTGAGATTCCTCCAAGTGAATGCAGAAGGAGGGGTTTGGAGAACAGAGTGATGACATGGGCAGTCATGTTGGGCACTAACTCAACAGATGTGTGCTATTAACACTGTCTGGGATGAAAACAAGGGCACGGGGAGATTCTAGGTACGTTTAAAACTCCATTTCTGCTGACATAAATGTGTGTATTTTCAAATGCAATATGCTGAGCTGCAATCCCACATTCAATTCAAAAATTGGTCACATCTCTTTACCAGAATGTTGTAAGAGAAAAATATCCCCTGCTTCACAGTCATACCTTATTCATGCCATCACTTTTGGCAGTATGCACATTTGTGAGCAACTGTTGTCAAGAATGAAGGACAGGAAGAGCAGCAGAAATCTCTGATGAGCATTGTGAGAACTCACTAGTTTCATGTTTTTGTTACTCTCTTTTATATCTTAATAAAAATGCTAAAAATTAAGATGTTTTGTTACTTACATACGTTAACTATATTTTATATTTTATTAGGGCTGCTCCAAAAGTAATGCCTCGTGGTTTAATATTTTGGAGCACGATGCCAAAGGCAGATGTTGGTGGGATGGCTGTAGAGATTGAACTTTCCCACCAATATTCTGTTAAATGTTGTTGCTGTGTGATAGATACCAGCAGAGGGGCATTCTGACAAAATGGTGTCTGACATGGAAGTGAGAATGAAGCAAAGGGGTGACATTCAGTTCCTCCATGTGGAACAAAAAGGCACCCACTGGCATTCATGAACGCTTGCTGAACATTTATGGAGGCCAATTAGTGGATGTGAGCATTGACTAGAGAGGCAGTGGTGGATTTCACCATAAGGCATTTCAGCAGTGATGACAGTGACAGAAGCCACATCTGCCTGTGAAGATTTTTATGAGCACGGCATGCAGGTTCTTGTTCATAGCTTGTGAAAATGCATAGCCAGTGGTGACTGCATTAAAAAGTAGTGATTTGTAGCTGAGAAGTTGACAAATAGTGCTGTTATGATTTTTGTACCAGTGGTCATTTCCAGGTAAATACAGGTAAGAAGCATTACTTTCAGAGCAACTCAGGTACATGCAGCCCAAGACAATTCCTCTTCAGTCAGTGTGGCCCAGGCAAGCCAAAAGTTGGACATGCATGTGTGTGAAGCAAAGCACCTTGCAACAAGCATGCAGCCCCTGTGCAACACCTTACCAGCACAACTGCATGATTCTTGCAGTGATTTTCTGCTTCTCATCCCCTCTGAAAACATCTTGGATTCATCCTTTCCTCAAAGCTTCAGGAGATTCACCCCAGCAAATGAACAGCAGTGCTGTTAATGAAGTATTATCCTTTGGTATCTTGATGTATTTTGGCTCCAGCATTGAAGGCTGTGTTACATAGTGAGAGGAAAACTCATCTACTAGGGAACACGATGCTTTTAGAGAGAGCTATTGAGCTGTGACTCCAGCAGCCTCGGCAGTGATTGGTCCAAGAATGGAAACTGTTTTCTACTTTTTTTTTTTTCTTTTTTTTCTTTTTTTTTTGGCATAGCTTCATCCCATCCTACACACAACAGAAAATACCCTGGGGTTCCTGGCTGCATGCTGCAAGCACTGAGCTGCGCAATGGACTCATGGAAAGAGTGCTCCCCTGCATGCTGAGCAGCTGTGGGCAGTTCTACTTAATTTTCCTTGGATTTTAATGGAAATATATATATATGTTTTCTTACCCTTTATTTTGTTGCATTTTTCACCCACCTCTCCCTGATATTCCATGCAGGGAGCATGGACTTTCTGTCCCTGGCATCAAAATAAATCATCCCATATATGCAGGAAATGCATTTCAGAGCCCTCCAGCAGCAAAGGTGAAAAGAAGAGGCATCCAGGTTTCATCCCTTTCCCTTCCTTTTGCATTGTCTGATAGCCAAGGGGAAGGTTTCCATTGAAATTGTTTGTGCCCCATCAGTAGAAAACTATGGGAGAAAGAGTTCTCTCAGTAAGAGTTAAATTGGCACCTAAATTTTTAAGGGAATAGAGAAGGAAAAAGGAAAACATTCAAGTGATCTCCAAAAAAGGAGTCTAAGTAGCTGTTTGTAAATATATATATATATACATAATGCTAAAATTCTCATACTGAGGCAGTGATGGATGGAGATTTGCAAGGACAGCTGATGGCAACCTGAGCAGCTTCATCAGAGCTGTGCAAACATTGACTCTTCGTTTGAAAGCAAACACAAGAACTGGTTTCCTCATTCACTTCTTGCAGGGAAAGCAGTCAGAAACCGGACTTGGAAATCCAGCCCCCCTGCCTCGGGTGGCTGCAGCTGCTTTGTTCTCCTGCTTTTTCATCGTAGGACCTGTACAGGTCTGTTGCCCTAACACCGCATCTGGCAAGGATGGGGAAGAGAAATGAATAGGAATGGGCAAGAAAACTCGCCAGCTGAGATAGAAGTTAACAGGTAAAGCCAAAGCTGCATGTGCAAGCAAAGCACAATATGGAATTAGTTCATTTCTTCTCATCCGCAGGCAGATTTTCAGTTATTTCCATCCTGCATAATGGTTAATGGAGAAGACAAACACCGTAATTTTAAATGCTCCTCCCTTCCTTCTTTTCTTCATCCTTCATTGCTGAGCTCATCATAATATCTCCTTGAACCATTTGGGGTCATCTGTCCCACCCAGTTCCTGCAGTATCAGAGGTTGAAGAGTCCTTGGCTCTGTGCAAGCATCGCTCTGCAACAACGGCATCTGAGTGCTTTCATTTCATTGTTTTCATCATAAATCCAAACACTAGCATGACAGAACTGCTGGGGAGGAAATTAACTCTGTCCCCACCAGAAGCAGTGCAGGGTGCATTTCACAGTTTGGGCAACACCTCCTGCTTCATCCTGTCTGCCTGCCCTGAGTGTGATTGGATGCTCAGTGCAGAGCAGGGCAGACCCAGGAAACTCCAGCCGTAGCCCTGTTACCTCAGGAGACAACAGTTTTCTTCTCCTCCTCTACACAATTTGGGCACACCAGGTATAGGTTCCTCTTTGTGTCTCTGTGTCTTCCAGGAGAGGATCTAACTTTGATTTGCTTGCTGTTTCCCTCTCCTGGTGACCTCTTCTTTCGGACCACATCTCCATACCCAACCACCTCATTTTTGCAGGAGTTTCTAGGTTTGTCTCCTCCATTCAACCTACACCAGGACCTTTTGTTCTGAGGTGCCCTGGGATTTCCCACCCACCAGCACATCCTGTGGGACATGATGTGGGACTTAGAGGATTCCCATCTGGACCAAGCTCCTTGGGGTATCTCCAGTTAATGGAGGGTTGGATTGTCTCCTCTACTTTTCCCACTACTCCAGTGAGAAATCAGCAAACTGTGTCTACCTTGTCTGCTGCCCATCTCAGCTTGTTTCATCTGTTGTGATTTTGGAAGACTGATGTGACAACTTGCTTCAGTGTGGCTTGGCTCCAAGCTGCTCTCTGCTAAATGTCCCCATCCCAAATGAACAAAACCCCCAGGCCCTATTACATTTCTCCCTCAGGCTTTCAGTCTCTGAGCTCTCCTTCCTCTCCATCTTCCAACATCCTGACCCCATGGAGAAGTTCAGAGCCCTTGAGCAGATCCTCCTTGGCACACCCCAATTTTGGAGCATGGGAATTGAGATCACCAACAAGACTGGTTTGACCATCTGCAATCCCAGGTCTGTATGGTTGCCACCAGGCCTTATCTTGAGGAGGTCCCTAAAGCATGGGCATGAATTCAAGAGCAGAAAAACAAAGTGTGCATGGAGTGTGGTGGGTCCACAAAACCTGCAGTGAGTATAAGGAAGCAGAATGGAGGAAGAGGAATTCATGGCCTGAGCTGGTGCCAATGGAAAGTAATGCAACCTTGTGAACAATTTGCAGAAAAATGGGAAGAAAAACACAGGGCTGGACAAATGTTCTGGTTCCTCAAGGCTTATTTGCAGAAGAAAAAGGAGACACCGTAAGTTCCCACCAATCTTTTTTGCTACAGAGTTACAGAAGGTTTAAGACTGGAAGGGACATCTGTTCAAAACCCCGTATCTCTTCATTAGCTGAAGGGGACCATCAATGCTCCTGATTTGGGCACATCTGCTTGGTGCTTACAATTCAGTGAGATAGATCTGAGTGTCGTGATTGGCTTCTGTACTGGGTGCACTCTGTCCTTCAAAGATGTCTTTTGTTTGCATTGAAAAAATGTCATACACGTTTGCCAGCACTGTCATCTCTCTTCTCCACTCCAGAGCATCTGCAGTGTTTAGATTCCACCTGGAAAGAAATACATACAATCCAGACCTGTAAAACTAGCTTGCTTTACCCTGCAAGGCCACTTAAAGTTAGTAGTATGCATATAATTACGTTAAAGAATCACTGAATCATCAAATCTTAGAATCCCAGAATGGCTTGGCTTGGAAGGCCCCTGAAAGATCATAGAATCATAGGATGGCATGAGTTGGAAGGGACTATGAAGATCATCAGATCCATCATAGAGAAATAGGACTGTGGAATCATAGAATCATAGAATGGCTTGTGCTGGAAGGGACCCATTGAGTTCCAGCCCTCTTCTATGGGCAGGGTTGCTGCTCATCAGATCAGATTGCCCTGTGCACCATCCAACCTGGCCTTCAACATCTCCCACCTGGACACCTACATGTGCAGACTGCTTTAGGGATCCTGCTTTGAAGGGAGGTTGGACTTGGTGATCACTAGGGAACCCTTTCAATCCCTATAATACTGTGGTTCTGTGATTCTGTAATCCCCAGGGATGGGGCATTCACAGATTCTTTGGGCAATACAAGCATGTAACTGATAGCGATAGTGATAGTTCAAAAGCACAAAAAGCAAAAATAAGTAGCGATGTGGAGAGATGGGAATCATCCCTCAAAACGCCAAGATCCAACTTCACGTCTCCATCATCGTCCCATGGCAACATCTCTGAGAAAGAGATGTGAATGAACAAACTACTGCAGGGCAGATTTAGACTGGATATTAGAAAACAGCTTTTTATGATGAAGGCAGAGAAGCACAGTCACTGATAGCTCAGAGAGGTGGTGGATGCCCCGTCCTTGGAAACATTTGAAGGTTGCACCATAATCTGAGCAACCTCATCTAGCTCACCAGTTCTGTTTGTTGCAGGGTAGTTGGACTAGGTGAACATTAAGTATCCATCCCAACTCAAACTGTTCTATGATTCTATGATTGTGAAAGAATGAAGAGCCACCAAACCCCAAACCCAGATGAGAGGCTGAGTTGCTACAAATGCCCTGCATGGTGGGGCATGCATGAAGCTTACCAGAGCAGACGACGCCTGCATCTTCTTCATGGTTGCAGTTATGGACTCCCCAAGGCCTTGCTGCACATTCGGAGAGCGCTGATTCCCTGCTGGAGCATTTCACATCATCCAGCCAGATACGGCCAAAGCCTTGCCCAAAATAAGCGGATCCGGGGGCTGACATGGCTGTCCCGCAGCCCAGCTGCTGGCACACAACCGCAGCATCGCTCAGGTCCCAGTTGTCATCGCACACTGTTCCCCACTGCTGGCCGTGAAGCACCTCAACTCTCCCAGCACAACGACTAGGGCCGTTCACCAGCCGGAGAGGAGCTGCTTCTGCACTGCCTGCACATAAAGCAAGATACAATGAGAAATGCACACATAATGCCCTGCAGCTGAACCCTGAACCTGCTGAGAGTAGACACGTAGTAGTGTCCTTGTACCAACCAAGGTGCCCAATGGATGAAGAGGACATTCTGGGAGGGCAAGTCTTCTCCCATAGTCAACCTCATACTTTCCATCATACTCTGGGTTGCTGAAATATCTTGCTTATGACTCAAGATTGCTGTTTTCCCATTCGTTGTCAGCAAGACACGTTTGTTACCTGGTGTGCAATGAGCCAATCTCACACACACAGATGAGGTGTTGGTTTAGTATGAAGATGGGGCTAATCTTCCTTTCTGCTGACTATGCTGGTCATAATGATTAAATACATCTCTACTTTGTACATTTCAATGATGTCCCCATCTTTGAGTACAAGCTGAGTAGCCAAGCTATGATCAGGAGTTTCTTTACTTAATCTCTTTTAGTAGTCTCAAGTGTGGTCAGCTGATCCTAGACAAAAGCCTGGATTTTCTGTATCTAAGGGAGCCCGTGTAAAGACTTGTAGAAAGATTAATTCCTTCTTGGCTTTCAGCACATTGAGGAGGATACTGCTTCATCCCTTCCAAGCAGACACGTTTCCAAGAGTTTACTGAATAACTTTGTGACACTGAACACCATTCTTGCTCCATATAAAGAGCAATCTGCCCTGCCAAGCTCAGGAATAAAAATTTAATGTTGTCTATGGATGTTACAGATGTAACCCATGCAAATGGACATATTTGGCAACCTCCAGCTGGTTGCTGTTTCCCATCTGAATCGCCCTGGAGAATCTTTGCCATTCTTCAGCTCTCATGTCAGAAGAGTGGAAATCCAATGTAGGTGTCTGCGTTCTGTTGGGCAGTTTTTATTATTGTATGCTGTATATAGCACTGTATCTTGTACTATTTAATCCAGGTTCAGGTACTAGGATCCCTGAAACTCAGCAGGGATGGGATGTTTCTGGGATCATTTTCAACCCTGGAAAAAGTCCAGGAGCCTTCAGAAGCTGAGGTACAGGAGACTCAGCTTGATACAGTTATCAGATGCAGGTCCGATCATGGTAACCCAGATTCTGGTGGTGATTGTGGACCATGATCAGGGCCATGTAGATTATACAAGAATCAATTTATAGACCACAATGACTGACAGCAGACATTAGGAGCAGCCTGAACTCAGAGAATACCTCCTACTGAGTCTGAAAATCATTTTTCCAGGTTTCCCAACATTTTTGAGACTGAGAAATAGGCAGGAGTTACCTGAGCACACCACACCAGCATCTTCTCCATGATTGCAGTTATGGGATCCCCAGGCCCGGAACTGGCACTGCGAGAGGGCAGCCTCTGTCCCTGCACAACTGACATCATCCAGCCAGATGGGGTCAGAGCCTTGTCCAAAGCGAGCTGAGCCAGGGGCTGATATTGCTGCCCCACAGCCCAGCTGCCTGCACACAACATCCGCTTCTGCTTTATCCCAGCCATCATCACACACAGTTCCCCACTGTTGGTCATGAAACACCTCAACTCTCCCAGCACAATGACTCGGACCGTTCACGAGCCGGATGGGAGCTGGTTCTGTAATACCTATGAAAAAAACAAAAACAAAAACAACCCAAAACATGGTCAGAAACATGAGCGCGAATCCTGAAAAGTTTCTTGTGTTGACAAGAAACTCCGGGGACATGGACAAACTACAGGAACCAAATGATGTTAATCAAAGCCAAACACAGGTTGTTGTACTTTGGTTAGGGCAATCCTAGATATGCATTCAGACTGAGAGAAAAACTCGTTGAGAGAAGGGCTCCAGAGATGGACTTGGGGGTTCTGGTGGGTGAAAAGCTTAACTAGAATCAGCATTAAGTGCTCACAGTCTGGAAGCCAACAGTCCCCTGGGCTGCATCAACCGGGGGTGGTCGTGGGGAGAAAGGGGATTGGCCCTCTCTGCTCTGCTATCCTGAGGCTCCATCTGTAATACTGTGTCCAGGCCTGCTATCCCCAGCACAGGAAACAAGTGGAGATTGGGAGCATTTCCTGGATGACATGAAGATGCTCATAGGCCTGGAGTACCTCTCCTAAGGAAACAGGCTGAGGGAGTTGGGCTTGCTCAGCCTGGAGAAGAGAAGGTTGAACAGGGATCTTATCAACGCTTGCAAATATCTGATGAGCAGGTTTCAGTGATTGGGACCAGGCTTTTTTAGGTCATGTCCAGCAACAGGAAAAGGGGCAGTGGGCACAGTCTGGAAGTCAGGCAGTTCCGTCTGAACATGTGACAGAACTTCTCAATGATGAGCATGACATAGCCCTGAAACAAGCTGCTTAGAAAGGTTGTGAAGTCTCTGGAGATAATAAAAACCTTCCTGGATGCTTTCCTGTGCAATTTACTGTTGGAAAATTCCTCTAACAGGGGGATCTCCAGAGATCCCTTCCAACCTCAGCAGGTCTGTGATTATGTGAATTAACAGTACCTGAGCACACCACACCAGCATCCTCTCCGTGGTTACAGTTGTGCTCTCCCCAAGGCCTGACTCGGCACTCAGCAAGGGCAGTTTCAGATCCTGCACAGTTCATGTCATCCAACCAAATTTGTCCAGTTCCTTGTCCAAAACGAGCATAGTCAGGGGCTGACATTGCTGCCCCACAGCCCAGCTGCCTGCACACCACTTGAGCATCTGTTAAATCCCAGCTGTCGTCACAGATGGTTCCCCATTTCTGCTCATGAAACACCTCAACTCTCCCAGAGCAGAAATCTGAACCGTTGACCAGCCGGATGGGAGCTGGTTCTGGAACACCTGAAACACAATGGAAAAGCAAGGTAAGTTATTTTGGCAAAGACATTCCTTCCAGGCACATCAGGAAACATTGTGTGCACTAGTTGATTTAGTATGACACCCAGGGACAAGCATCGAGAAGATTCGGTGCTATCGGATTTCCTCACACATGACCCAAAGGTCAGGAAGTAGTGCTGGCCCAAACTGAGGAAAATAAATGTCCTGTTGCTTCTCACTCCCAAATATGAGGGGATTGAAGCCTCCTTCTCTCTGCCTTTGACCAGGAAGACAGCAGTGCCCAGGCAGCAAGTGCAGGAAACTCCACTGCCCAAGGGAAAAGACACTAGCCAGGAACATGGTGACAAAACGGGGGTATGATTGACCTCAGCCAGACTTCATCTCTCAGTGGCTTAATTCCTTTCCTGAGCATTAATACTCATCAGTATGTGACATGTCCAGCAAACTCCAGACAGCCAGTGAGTCTGGCAGACTTGACTTAGGACCTTGGGAGGGGGGCATTGTTCTGTATCTGCAATTAGAAATTGGATGGGACATCACAGGACATCTTACATGACACAAAACAAGTTGTGTTAGCAAGGGAACCCACCCTTTTACAACTCCACAGAGCAGAGTCATTTCCCTTTGTAGTCATTGGAAGGAAACCAGCATGACTGGGTTGCACATCCGTTAATCTGCTTTGGGCACGTCATCAGGATGGGGATAATCCTGCTATGTGCTGTGCTAAGTCTTCACTGGCTGCAAAAGGACAGTGATGAATTCAGAAAGGGATCTGTGCTTAGACAGCAAATCCGCAGGGTATTCTCAGATGTGGATAAGTAATTGTAGAGAAACAGGTAATCTCCAGAGAGAACAATTCAAAAGTGTACCATTTGGGGGGGATAAAATGACTGAACATAAGAAGAGTTAACTACATGACAGTGCTTCACAAATCCTTCTCAAGGATTGAGAGTGAAACCCCGAAGTGTCATGTTGACCCAAGAAAAAAATGGCTTAGTATAAAAGGGAGTGCTGTCTACAAGATATCCAAAGCAAACCTTCAATGTGAATCACTACTGCTAAAGCCTCAGCTTGACGAGTGATTAGAAAAATCATGTCAAGCAGCCAAGGAAAACACCAGGAAGAGGGAGGGAGATAAGAAGAGGCTCAAAACCATTTCTCCAGAAGGAGATATGAAGGGGCTGAGAAGGGATAGAACATTCTTATCACGAGGTAGATGCAAAGAATAAGTAACAATGTGCATGACAAAGAAACAAGAGACTGTAGATCCTACAAGCAGTAGTTAGGTCAGGGTTTCCCTCCAGTGGCAAATAAGCACAGTGCAACAATTTTGAGGAAATTGTCTGATCTGTAGAGGTTTCACAGAAGACACTGGAAAAACTTTGGGAAAAGAAAACAGATCTGCTGAAGATGGTTTTACCAAGGACAGGGGAAGGGCAAGTAGAATCACTACGTTTCTGCAAGACCTTTTGTGTTGAAGAGGGAAAACAGCAAATGCAGAGCATGTCATGATGTTTTGAGAGTGAAACAAGAGAAACCCAACTGGTTGTGCGCTGCTCTCAATAACAGGGTGACTCACAGCAGTCCTGCAATGCTATCTGATTTATCTGTAGCACACAGAAAGGAGTTTCAAGTTTGAATTCATGGGAAAGTGTTCCAGAATTGAATTCTTCAGCACAGCAAACACTGGACTGCAGCACCACAATACCATGGTGAGTCTGGGAATAGGGAGAAAAGGGAAACACCGCTGGATTTGCACACATCCAACCAGATGCATTTTCTTTTTTCAGCACTCTGGATTTAGAGTTATAAGACGGGAAGAGGGCACCCTGTTGTCATTTCAAGCATCCCTCCATGTACCTTACGCCTCAGTCAGAAAGCAGAATAAATGAGACTTACCCAAGCACAGGACACCAGCATCTTCTCTGTGCTCACAGTTGTGGGCTCCCCACAGACTGGTCTCACATTTGGAAAGGGCAGTTTCAGCTCCTGTGCAATTCACATCATCCAGCCAGATAGGGCCAGACCCTTCTCCAAAAGAAGCCGAAGTTGCTGTGGACAGAGCCCTCCCACAGCCCAGCTGCCGGCAAACAACTTCAGCATCGCTTATGTCCCAGCTGTCATCACACACGGTGCCCCACTGATGGCCATAAAAAACTTCAACTCTCCCACTGCAGCGGTTTGGCCCATTTGTTAACCTCAGTGGAGCTTCTCTTGGTATACCTGAAGAAGAGGGGGGAGGGATATGTGTCACAGAGTTGCTGCTGGCCTGATTATAAAATAAGATCAGACGCATAATGCCAGAGAGGGCCTAGTTTATTCTGTTGCCTGATGCTGGCATGTCTTTGCCAGTTCAAAACTATGGACACAACAGACTGTGTACCATATTCTGCTGAATGTCAGTAAGAGGAATACAGTATGAGTTAGCACAATCTATCAAAGGTCTGGGAGTCTTGGGAGGTCCCTGATGACTGGAAACCAGGCAAAGTTACACTCATCATGAAGGGGAAAAGGGGATGAGAGATGACCCAGGAAACAACAGACCTGTCAGTCTAACCTCAGCCCCTGGAAAACATATGGAAAAGCTATTCCTGTGTGCTACTGAAAGGCATTTTAAAGTTGCCATAGAGCAAGCCCATATGGGTTATGAAGGGTAAGGTCCTACCTTGGTAATTCGGTGTCCTATGATAAGCTCACCTGCTCGGTGGACGAAGGGAATGCAGTTGTAATCCTTCCAGATTTAAATAAGGCCTTCCCTGCCATCCCTTGCAGCATCCCTCTGGACTAAATGTCCATCTGTGAGGTAAACAGGTTCTTGCTATGCTAAGTGATGAACTGCCTCAGGGTTGTTGGTTGAAGGGTTGTTCAAAGAGTTGTAGTGACTGGTGTTTCATCCGAAAGACACCACCGGTGTTCCCCATCACTCAATCCTACAGGCCAGCTCCAGTCAACATTTTTACCAATGATCTCATTGTAGTCATGAAAGGCAGCCTCAGCAAGTTTGCTGCTGACACTAAACTGGGAGGTGATATTTACTCTCTAGAGGGATGTAAGGTCTTACAGAGGGTTCTAGATTCATTGGAGCACTGGGCAGTCAGCAACACAGAACACGGACAAGGGGAAATGCTGGGTGCTGTATCTAGGATGGACAAATGCTGCATTCACTCACAGCCTGTGTGGTGAGTGGCTGGATAGCAGTCCAGCAGGAAGGGACCTGATGGCACTGGTAAAAGCAGGCCCAATGGAAGGCAGCAGTGTGCGCTAGCAGCCATGTTTTGGGGTGTAATACACAGAGCAGAGCCAGCCAGACAAAAAAAGTGCCATTCCTGCTCTATGTACTGTTTGTGCAGCTCTCCTTTAAATACGGTGTACATTTCTGGCCTCTACAATATAAAAAGAAGGTTAGGGTACTAAATGCATGCAAGGCAGGGCAATAAGGTTCTTAAAAAGTCTGGAAAGAATGAAAGAAGTGGCTGAGGACACTGGAGTATACAGTTCATAGGAGACCAAGATGTGACCTCCGTCCTACTCAAATGTTCTATTCTATTCTATTCTATTCTATTCTATTCTATTCTATTCTATTCTATTCTATTCTATTCTATTCTATTCTATTCCATCCCATCCCATCCCATCCCCTCCCATCCCATCCCATCCCATCCCATCCCATCCCATCCCATCCCATCCCATCCCATCTCATTCCATGCCCTCTCTTTCTAAGACAAGGACAACTCCTGTATACAAGAACAGTTACACATTTTCAGCAAAAGGAGAAATTTCAAAGAAATGTCCCGTATGATGACAGAGATGCATCATCATCAAGACACAGTTTGCAGCCATGCTGGCACACCAATTATCCTCATGGAAAAAGAAATCCTCCCCTGTAACACAGAGGCATAGGCAGGAGTTACCTGAGCACACCACACCAGCATCTTCTCCATGATTGCAGTTATGGGATCCCCAGGCCTGGAACTGGCACTGCGACAGGGCAGCCTCTGTCCCTGCACAACTGACATCATCCAGCCAGATGGGGTCAGAGCCTTGTCCAAAGCGAGCTGAGCCAGGGGCTGATATTGCTGCCCCACAGCCCAGCTGCCTGCACACAACATTGGCTTCTGCTTTATCCCAGCCGTCATCACACACGGTTCCCCACTGTTGGTCATGAAACACCTCGACTCTCCCAGCACAATGACTCGGACCATTCACAAGACGGATGGGAGCTGCTTCAGCAGCACCTGCACCAAATACAAGTGCAAAATCTTTGGGATCATTACATGTCTCAGAGTGCTGTGCAAGAGCCAAATAATCTTCACAGGGGTCTGGGAGCAAACGGCAGGATTCTTCCTCAACAACAGGACACAGAAATGTGTGTGGTACCTGAGTGTTGGGAGTGCCCTGACATACCCAACCATCAGAATTCAATATCCAAATTCACAGCATTTTAGTCCCCTTGACAGCTCAAGCTGCTCCCTGCAGCATGGCTCCAGAACTGTCCTGGACTCAAGGGGAGAACACAGACCTTCTCCATGACTCACATCCCTTCCCTATTATCTTGAGCCATGCTGTCCACATGGAATACAGCCTTTCCATCAACATACCACTCTCCTTTCATCTCAGCTTACAACTGCATGAGGATTGCTCGTCCTCCTTATTCTGAGGAGACTCCACATCTACCAGCATCCTGCCACAAACACACTGGCTGCATCGTACCCCACATACATTGGCATTCACTAGTGGTACCTGAGCACACCACACCAGCATCCTCTCCATGGTTACAGTTGTGGTCTCCCCAAGGCTTGGCTCGGCACTCAGCAAGGGCAGTTTCAGATCCTGCACAGTTCACGTCATCCAACCAAATTTGTCCAGTTCCTTGTCCAAAACGAGCAGAGCCAGGGGCTGATATTGCTGCCCCACAGCCCAGCTGCCTGCACACCACTTGAGCATCTGTTAAATCCCAGCTGTCATCACAGATGGTTCCCCATTGCTGCTCACGAAACACCTCAACTCTCCCAGAGCAGTTACTTGAACCATTCACCAGCCGGACTGGAAGAAGCTCAGCAAATCCTGTAATTGAGATATAGTGAAGGCATCAGTTTTCTGTGCTTTCCTTCATATTTTGGTCCATGCTGATCATGTCTGGACAGTGGTGGTGTGGCATGGACATTGCTCTTTTTTTTTCTATAACAGACCAGTAGATCATTGCAGCAGCTTCTGTCCCATAGAATAGTGGTCTCTGTTTTTTTCTCTTGTTGGCTAGTTTCACCTAAAAATCAGCCTCTATTTCGTTCATACCTCTATTTTCTCTGAAGATGACAGTTACACCGTCAGCCTGTTAACTGTGGTAAAACAGACCAGAGCGAGTCATGTGGGCTGGTAAGCTGAGCATAGAAGGAACCAATGAAATAACAATGCTGCAGGAGCACAGGCATGCCTACATTAAGGCTGCTTAAACGACTTTTAGCTGTTGGGATCAGCAATTTCTGGATGACACAAGTTGACTGAGGGCTGACAATAGCATATGTTGAAGGTGTAAAGATCTGCTGATGCTGAGCGTGAAGAATTTGGAGCAGGGGTTCTTGTTTGGGTGAAGTTCTGCAATTAATATTGAGTGCTGGGGAATATTCCTTGAACAGCAGTAAGATTCAAGGACAGAATCTGTGTGGTCTATTATACACATTTAAGTGCTCAGGAGCATCTCTCTTGGGACAGCTGTGACACAAGAAAGAATAATTTGACCAGAAGTTTGTATTTTCTTCCCAGGTGTGAAGTCAACCCACATTTTTAATTTAATATCTTCATTTTGCTGCCAGAGAGGTGGTGGATGCCCCACCCCTGGAGGCATTTAAGGCAAGGCTGGATGTGGCTCTGGGCAGCTTGATCTAGTGGTTGGCAGCCCTGCTCAACGGGGCGGTTGAAACTAGATGATATTTGGGGTCCTTTTCAAACCAAGCACTTTATGATTCTATGATTTTTTTGAGTGAAAGATAAATTCCTCCTCTCAAACTAAGCAGCCCCTGATGGGAACTGCTCAGGACTGGCAGAGCAGTGGACTGGAAGACCTACAGTCATCCTTAACAGAAACGTTTCTGTTAATGTTTCCTTAATCTCTTAAGGAAGAGAAACAGGAGAAAGAAGAATGGTGGAACTTGAGAACTTGGTCAGTTGGGGCTGTGCCTGACTTATGCAATTATGCTCATCACACTTCACATGCTCTTCTCTTTTACATAATAAGAAGAATAACCCAATTATTGGCTTGTAGAGTAAGTGATATGAGAACACACCTCACAATGATCTGTGTTCCCTCTGTGTACCACTATCTGTGGTTGCAAACTGCCACCTGGAAGCACCCCATTCAAAAGACAGACATAAGGAAAGACAGGTTGTAATTATCTATGGATGTAGCCACATCATTTGGAAGCCCTCTCTGATGCTTTTTTTTGCAAGCATCTATTAGTGCCAAAGGACCTTGGCCCCAGGATGACCCAAGATAGTTTATTCTTTAATGCTTATAAGGGTACCTGCACACACCACGCCAGCATCTTCTCCATGGTCACAGTTATGGCTTCCCCAGGGACTGGCTTTGCATGTGGAGAGGGCAGCTTCAGTCCCTATGCAGCTGACATCATCAAGCCAGATTTGATCAGATCCTTGCCCAAAGTGAGCCCCACGGGGAGCTGACAAGGCCTTCCCACAGCCCAGCTGTCTGCACACAACTTCTGCATCAGCCAAATCCCAGACATCATCACACACAGTTCCCCAGCGCTGGCCATAGAACACCTCGATTCTCCCAGAGCAGTGGGTTGATCCATCCACTAATCGGAGCGGGGCTGGTATTGCAAAACCTACAGAAAGGAAGGAAAAAAAAAAAGAAATAAAGGCTAGGGAAGAATCTCATGCAGAATCTGGCTTGTCTTTTCTCCATTTGTCAATGAACACAGTGTTTTTCACTCTGTGGATTGTGACATGGAGAAATTCTGCACATGGGAGCAGCACAAGCATTTCTTCCATCATCACAGCATGAGATGTTCAGCAGTATCACTATTCAGACTCCCAATGGCTCCACTGTGGGGTCAATTCTCTTAAGTGCTTTTATTAATGATCTGGATGCAAGACTTGAATGCACGCCTAGTTTGCGGGCAGTACTAAACTAAGAGGAGATGTTGACTCACAGAAATCTTGACAGAGAGGTCCTGTAAAATTAGAGAGCAACCACCAACTGCATGAAGCTTAACAAAACAAGTTTAAGATTCACATTCTGGGAAGGGGAACTCTGAAGATAAGTAAAAACTGGGGGATGAGAGTCAGGAGAGCCTCTGCATGTGGCTACGAAGTTGACAGTCTTATTAATGCCTCATTATTATTGGGCTGTGGAAAACAGACTCTTCTACCTCCAGTAATGTCCAAGTAATCATTGTACTAGTAATAACTGAGCTAATTGCAAATTTCTAATGGTAAACATCTCTTGGAATATGCTACCTCCATTTGGCCAGACAGCTGGAGAACTGGGATGCAGTGAGTGGCTCTGGGAATCATGAAGTTGGGACCTTGGTTTTATGGTTGTCTTTGAGGACTTGATACTAATGCACTTGGAGAGACAACACGTGCCATGGTTGCACTTTGTCTAATGAAACAACTTAGGGGATTCTTAAGAAGGAACTAAATCCACTGATAGAACAGTGAGATGATGAGACTGCTGAAAGCAGTGAACGAATATTCTCTACCAAAGCATCACAGTCCATGTGCTATGTTGTGGGAGTGTATAAATAATTCCTGCAACAACACTGCTCTACCAGTGGCTTATGCAGTGGAAAGTTTTTAATACCAAGAAGATGCAAGGTCATTTTATTGCAAACCACATTCTACGTTTTAGTTCCCTTGAGCACAGGAGTTTTCTTTGCAAAGAGAACTGTGCTCCCTGCAGTGTTGCTTCCCTACAGCATCTCCAGCATATCTCCAGATCCCACAAAACTCACGTGTGTCATGCAGGATGAGAGTTACCTGAGCATACAACACCAGCATCTTCTCCATGCCCACAGTCATGTTTTCCCCAAGGTTTTGCAGTGCATTCAGACAGGGCAGCTTCAGTTCCTTTACACATAACATCATCAAGCCAAATGGGGTCAGATCCTCTGCCAAAATAAGCTGAGGAAGCAGCAGATAGGGCTGTCCCACAGCCCAGCTGATGGCACACAACTTCAGCATCAATTAGATCCCAGTTGTCGTCACAGACCGTTCCCCATTTGTGGCCATAAAGCACCTCCACTCTCCCAGAGCAGTGATTTGTACCATTCACTAATCGCAGCTGAACAGCTTCACTATTTCCTGCATTAAAAAGTAACAAACAACAAGAAAAAAATCAATCAACCACCACCACCAAAAAAGCAGGATCAGGGTTTGCACAAGGAAAGAGCATGTAGGGAATGAAGGAAAGAAAAATTCTCCGCTATCATTGTTCAGAACTAGAAAACATGATGAGGAACACACTCTGAATTTTTCTCTGTGACCTCAGACTTCCCAGTGAGAGAGATTAACAAATTGGACTTGGAATTCTTTATAAAGCAGGAGCAAAATCCACACTGTAATGTTACACCAAGGGTGGCTGCTGCCAGCACATCAAGACACCCATATGTCTTACACACTTCTTGGTTTCTCCTTGAGAGATGGGTGCTGATATTTTATGATGATTGCTCCAAAAATAATGCCTCCTGTTTCATTATGTTGACCTACAACATCCTTTTGTGGTTGGACACGACTACCTTGAAGTTCCTTTCCAACCTGAGCAATTCTATGATTCTATGATCAGAGGCCAATGTTGGTAGTATGAAAGTAGAAGTTGAATCTTCCCACCGATACTGCATTATATTTTGTTGCTTTATGAGTGCAGAGGATCAGTCTGACAAAAATGACATCAGTCATGGAAGTGAGTATGAAGCAAAGGGGAGCATTTGACTTCTTCCATGCGGAAAAAAATGGCACCCATTGATATTCATCGTTGCTGAAGATTTAAGAAGACCAAATAGTGAGTGTGAGCACAGTGAGGTGGTGAGCGGTGTGTTTCAGCCATGATGCCATTTTAGCAGCTGTGAAACAGTGGATCATCTACACTGGTGCTGTCTAGTTAGTTGATGGTGTCTCATTTGTTTTGATTCAATTGCCCACTCTGGTCATTGGCAGCACTGGCAATTCCACAGGTATATCTAAGTCTTAATATGGAGTTGAATCCCATTTTAGACCAACCAGGAAATGTGAATTTGGAAACCTGGTTCATTGTTCACTGAATGGAACAGTCTTTGGAACAGTGTCATGAAAGAGGGCAATGGGCAGCCCGTCCACCTCCAAATCACCTGTCAACTTCCTGCAACCTGTGTGCCACTTATTTATGTTTCATTTCCCAATTAACCACAGTGTTAGCCATCAAATCTTCCCCACCCAGTTTCTGTTGCTCAGCATTCATCAACACCATGCTGTCACATCCAGGTCAGACGTGTCACAAAGACAAATGGCCCACAGCTGAATTTCTCATCTCAGTGCCATTTTGGATAATAAATGTTTTCACTGGTAGCACTGACTCAAAATACAAATGGAAAGAGGACACAAATGCTCAACTCCCCTGACTTACTTTAGCCATAAAATACATGGAAAACTTGTGCATCCAGGTGAAATTCATTTCAGTTTCCTTCCTCATTTACTCTATAGTTAAGGAATAAGAAGCAGAGCAGAGCACAGCAGGAACAGAACAGCAGCACCACCATCAATCAGTTTAACTGCCAAAAGAACTGAGATGGGTAACACTGTCTTTGGCTTGGGTTAGTTCTAAAACAGACATCTATGTATGATCTGAATCCTAACAGTGGCACTGAAAAATAAAGTTTTGCAAACATGCTTAAAAGCCTCTTTCTACATAGCACTCTGCAGAGAATGGTGGAAACGTGAGTTACCTGAGCACACAACACTTGCATCTTCTCCATGATTGCAGTTATGCTCCCCCCAAGGTCTGGTCCTGCATGCAGAAAGGTCAACTTCTGTACCATTGCATTTCATGTCATCCAGCCAGATAGGACCAGTTCCTTCACCAAAATGAGCCGAGCCAGGAGCAGACAGTGGTTTCCCACAGTCCAGCTGCCTGCATACGACCATGGCATCAGATAGATCCCACCTATCATCACACACTGTTCCCCACTGCTGTTTCCAAAGCACCTCAAGCCGCCCCGCACAGCGGTTGGGGCCATCTACGAGTCTGATGGGAGCTGAGTTGGCGACACCTGGATCAGAAAAAAAGTCAAGGTAGAAAATGAACACAAAATAGCTTTTGGTTGATAGTGGAGAATGAAACAGCTTGCTCTTGTAGGAATGATGCCATTTTAGATGTGGCTGGGGAAGGACTGCTGACATACTAACCGTTGGTGCTTCATGCAGGAACACGGAAAGAAGTGTTTGCTGGCTAATTTGTGGTGCAGCTGTCTTACAAAGATTTTTCTAGGAAGTCTAATTAATCTCTGCTCATTTACAAGAAGTTGCAAGCTCTTCTTGTCACCTAGGAACGTCCTGATCATGAGGTCTCTAGTAACTTGTCCTTCTCAGACAATTTTTCAGCTATGGAAGAGTCCCAGCACACCATCTGACGTGACAGCTCCACACCACAGAAACTATAGGCTGTATTATTTGCCTTGAGAGAAAAATCTCTGGATATGGTCCCTAAGGCGATGGAGGTCACAGTGTGTCTCAGAGCTGTAATCTGAGCTACTTTGGCATCATCCCTGTCCACCATCTTTGCAGCAGGGAGCTCCATGCATAAGACCTTGAATGCTCCTTTTGAGTTACATCAGTCCTTGCGCTGTGCAAGTTATGGAAGGAAGTTTTAGTTCACTTACTGGAGTACAAGTTAGGATTTCAACATCAAATGAACAATATTTATGATTTCTGTCAAAAACACTTGCCAGAACTGCCCTGAACAGTCTTCATGAGTGTAACAAAACTCCAGACTACTATGGGGACCCAAGCCTGGCAGAGAGTGCCAAAGTTCTCCCTTATTCAGAAAGACATTTTTTGGTGCTTAAATTGTGTCTGCATCTTTGGTATTTGGTGCTGCTTCACATATACTTACACCGTAGGGTTTATCACTAGGACTGCTATGTAAAAGCTTGCCAGGTTCACTCTTCTACGCTACTGGGAAGCACAGATAGTTTCCTTACAAGCTTTAAATTCCCCAATTATTTTCCTTGTTCATTTACAATTCTCACCCTACCCTTTCTTCATCCTAGTCTGTGAAGCAGCCTTAACTTGTGTCAGTTTGCCAAAAAAAAAACAAAACAAAAAAAACAACAAAAACCAAAAGCCAACAATGCCACTGTCTCCAGATAATCCTTATCCAATTATTTTACTACTTTTTGTTTAAAGATTTGGCTGTGCAGGTTTACAGGGTATAAATGCAGCTGCACTAAGCACTGACACTGACAGAGAGGCATGCTATGCATATTTGTTCTTAGGTCCTGGCTCAAATCCAGTCTATGAGTGCAGAAGAGAGGCAAAGAAAACAGGATTACATTCTGGATTATAGAAATCTACTAAAGGAAGCTCTGTCCTTATGCTTGCTATGTCCCTACACTTGATTTATTCTCAGGATTCGTATCTGAATATTTGCATTCATAATGCCTCTAAATCTCCAGGTGATCTTTGGAAGCCAAATGACGATGTCTAATGCTGTATTTTCTTGCCTCAGAAAGGTCATGCCTTTTTCCTGCACCAGAAATTTAATTTATCATAGAATGTCTTGGCTGGGAAAGGACATTAAGGACCATCTCATCCCAACCCTCTGCCACTGGACAAGGACACCTCCCACAAGACCACACTGCTCAAAACCTCCTCCAGCCTGGCCTTAAACACCTCCATGAATGGAGGACTCTCAAATTCTCTGAGTAGCCTGTTCCAGTGCCTCATGCCCCTTACAGTGAAGAGTTTCTTCCATTTATCAAACATAAATCTACTGTCTTTTAATTTAAAATGACTACCTTTTGTCCTACCACTACACGCCCTTGTGAGAAGTCTCCATCTTATAAGTCTCCTCTAAGTATTGAAAAGTGACAACAAATTCTCCCCATATCCTTGCCTTCTCCACACTAGAAAACACCAATGAGGATATGAGAGGGGTCAATTCATCATGAGCACCATTTATCAGACCATATCTGAAACTCCATTCTCCGGGAGCAAAGGAGGAAACTTACCACAAATCCATACCAGGAGGAAAAGCACCGTTTCTATTCTGGTTCCAGCAAAGGCAGACAGACTGCTGATATAGGCATGCCTAGAGGGGAAAAGATTTCCTGGTGGTCCCATAGCAACAGCAGAGACCTTGTACAATCTGACCCCTGCAAGCCTGGATGAGCAAGGTAGAGCAGAAATGTCGTCCTTGGAGGAGAGATAAAGAGCTTAGAGTTGGTGACTGGCTGGGTGGGCAGGAGAAAGTACAGAGACAGAGGTAAATGACAAATATTCCTTGCTCTGACTCCTCCCCTTAACTGGTCTCTCCCTTTTCACCTCTCAGAACACTAGCCACCTCTGCTTCCTTACATCTCCTCATACTGCTTCTCTCCTCCCATGCTCTTCTGTTCATCAAAGAGTCAAGGAAAAATAAACCATGCTAGAATGACCCTGATCATTTGTCTTCTGTCAGTGTTTTCGCAAAAATAAAATCGTTTTTCACCTTCTGAAACCATCACTCTACTTGCAGGACTTAACTTGTGACCAGGCAGTGCCCAGGGAAGACTTAAAATCATAGAATGGCTTGGGTTGAAAGGGATCTTAAAGCCCACTGAATTCCAACCCCCCCCACTGTTGACTGGTGCCGTCCCTTATATCAGGCTGTGGAGGGCCCCATCCAACCTGGTCTTGAATGCCTCTAGGAATGGGGCTTTCTCCTGTGTCTCTCTATTCTTTGTGTAAAAAAATGTCCTCCTGATATTTAATCCGAATCTCAGTTCTTTTAGTTTAAAACCATTCTCCCTTATCACTGTCAGACCATATAAAAAAAATCTCCCTTTTGTTTATAAACTCCCTCTAAGAACTTCTTAGAGAAAAAATGAATGACACTTACGACTGCCTCTTTGCTCAGTTCTCAAATGCTGTCTGGTAGTCTAAGAATGGGGAGGATATGGAATACAAGAAAACACTTTTTTTTTTTTTTTTTTGATTGTGAGAGAGGTCAAACACAAGAACGGGCTGTTCACAGATGCTGTAGAGTATCCATCCTCAAAGATAACCAAAATCTGACTTAACATGTCTTTGACACATCCCCATCTAGGGGATTCTGCTTGAACAGGACAAAGAAGCTTCTGGATCTTTATTGCTGACTTTCAAGTGATTCCATGACGTTATTTCATCATCCTTCGCTTCCTCTTCTTCAGAAGAAATAAACCCATGTCTTTTAATCTAATCTTATTGATTATGTACTCCTTGCCCCACTCTGTTCCAAGCCCTCCTTTAAGTAGCCAGTTCATCTCTTCAGTATTCTTTATTGCTTGTGGTTTAGTAAGGTCCACCTCTTGACAGTTTTATGTGCATATGTATTTCCTCTTCCAGTTAGTAATTCTCCAAACTCCCGTATGCAGATAGGGGAAAAATGAAAAAGACCAATTAAATTTAACCTCCCAAATACCTGCATGATGCAAAGGTTTTCTGTATTCAGTTTTGGTCTGTTTCATGGTTTGTCTCAAAGGTAAGACCTAGAACACAATGGAAAGGGACCATAGCAAAGAAATCATGAACCCAGATGGAAGATCCCACAAGATATCAAAATAACAATGGACAAACTTTTCTGCTCTAGGTGAAATATCAGCAATACCTTGCCTGACTCTGAAGACAGCCACTAAGTCCTCATGCCCAAATTTTTTGTCAGAGATGCCAACTCAACTCCCTACTCTATACTATTATTTCACATTTTCGATCAAGATGTCTTTTTCAAGCAGCTATTGTTCTTTCAGCTTGTGTTCTGGGCCTTCTGTTTACTGTTTACTTCAATTGGCTTTGTAGTTCCTTTGTTTACCCTTCAGTCCTATTCATTTTGACCTTTAATATAACCCTATATATCTTCTCTGTCCTCACTGAAACCAGTTGGCCATTGGCCAAACAGTGGAGCAGTTCTGCCTGCCCTTGCTTCTGTATCTCCCTCTGCCTTTGGAAATACCCTGATTGGTTTATTTGGAGGAGTGGAGTTTCTTGCACCCTTTCCTAAGCTCGTCTCAGGATGTATGACATAATTGGTTGCAACAAAGTGCTGCAGCACTGAGTTACATTTGTATGATTAACAGATTGGGAAGGAAAGGAGCATCATGCTAGGCGTAGTATGAGACACATATAGCTTGAGTGCAAGTATTTAATCAAGATATGCAAACATTTGAAGTGTGTGATATGAGCAAAGCTACCTGATTGTAGTGCATTAGAACAGAGCGTGGCTCGAGATCTCAGTGTGGATGGGCAAATTCAACCAGTATGGAAAGCAGTGCTCACTGCTCATAGAACAACTATTCCTTGGTGAGTATACCATGTAGAATCATTTGAGTGGGAAGGTACCTTTTCAGGTCATCTAGTGCAACTCACTTGCAATGAACAGGGACATCTACAGCTGAATCAGGCAGCTCAGGACCCCATCCAGCCTGACCTCGAATGTCTCCAGGGATGGAGCAGGTAATGGTAGTATCTGGCCAAACCTGGAGCCTTGCCAAGGTGTCTCAGCCTGGATGTCCTAGGAAATAAGGCTGTGATTTTTGAACAAGCTGTATTTTGGCACAAGTAAAGAGCTAGGTTTTGCTATGGGCTCTGCAGAGGCTTGGGGAAACACAAATCCCAGAACCATCCCTAAGCCAAGATCTGCAAAGGTCTTTCCATTCCTTTGATTCCCCCAAAGTATTTCTGTGGAGTTGTTAAAATGTCTATAAAAATCTGTATGTGAAGGTTTTGGCCAGGTTAGATGGGGGCTTTGAGTAACCTGTTGTGGAAGTTGTTCCTATCCATGGAAGGGTAATTCAAGCCATGCAGTGTTCAGTTATTTTTAGGAAAACAGAGAGGCCACATCACAGACAGCTCCTGTCCTGTAACACAGCATTTTTCTTTGTGCAAAGACTAGACTGAACTTCTAAATCGCTATGATATAACATACAACTGATCTTGCTTCACTAAAACCCATCATCTGGTTTAGTCTGCGTTAAGCTGGACCAGCAGAGGTGCTAATGTCTCATCTGCAAATGTCTTCCTAAACTTTTCTATTCACTTTTGCCTCAGGATCTGGCAGTGCATATCATATATGAAGAAATTCACTGTATTTGAAGAGTTCCCTTTCTTGGTTGGGAAATGAAGTGAGTATTCTACTGGCACATAGTCATACCAGCTCATATTTATATTTGGTAGGGTAGAGTCACAGTGATTTTTTGTGTAACTTTATGATTGAAGGAGTCTTTTCCAACCATGTCTCTCTTTTTTGTACTTTTCATCATACTCAAAGGAGAGAACATCCTTTTCTTATAAAAAACTAGACACTTGACCTTATGGTGATATTACACCCATTTTTATTGCCTGAGATATTCCATATGAAGCCTTTTCTTTCATGGATCTATACATGTAACTTTTCCCCCATGCATGGCTACTTCTTGCAATACTCAGTGATATAAGCATTCAGAAACTTGTCCTCCTTCTTCTCATTTTAGCTGCAACTCTTAGCTCCATGAGGATCCTCAGCTTTTTCTCAACATTTTTATCTTGAACAACAGTCAGTCCAAACCTTATCCCTACTCAAAACCCTACAGGCAACTCAGGGAACCCTAAACTTTAGGGCTGCATTCTTCAGCACTGCTGCTGAAATAGAAATCACTCATCTCGTGGTTTGCTACAGCATGATTTCAGAGGGGAAAACTATACTGGAGATACAGGATATACACACTATACAAATGTTATTGCAGGGTAAACATAGTTCCTATGGATATGTTGCATATCAGCTTGTCTTTGTAGATATTTCCTATCTCATTGCTGAGGTTCTTGCAGAGTCCTCTGGCACTCATGTAAGCCAGCGAGTGAGTATGATAAAGCCTGACCCTAAAGCTGTGCATTAAATCAGCAAAAGCCACAAAGAGGCTGAATTAATACAAACAAAATGCATTTCAGGGAAAGGTCAGGGTGGCCTCATCATGAGTAAAGGCAGCATAAGCCAAGCCCCAGCAGCCACCTCTTCTGGAATTCTCAGTGATATTTGTTTCTTAGCTCCTCAGAAACTCTGTTACTGAGATCTTGTGAGTTTAAGCAGTTTCATTCTGGCAGATCCCACCTCTTTTTTTCTTGTACTTTTATCTGTGGAATGTCTCTCATGTTTTTCCTAAATTAATTCTTTCCTAAATTCATCCTTTTCTTCATTCTCCTCTTCCATGGAGGGCAAGTGCATGCAGATGATTTCATGCACAGGATCTGACATCAAGGATGTGTCTGCGTGTGTATACACATACATACTGTGTACATATTAATACATAGAGACTTATATAAACACACATACAGAGCACATAACCAGGGCTGCAAAACTTGAGCTATTTCTGTGTGTGCATTAAAAAAAAAAAAAAAAGAGGGAAGTGCAGTGTGTGTGTCTTTCCATCACAGTGAAGAACGGATTTTCCTTTGCTATGATCATGTTCATTTTGTGCTACCTGAGAAGAAAAACCTCTGTGCGGCTCCTCTAGAACAATCTGAAAAGCTTGAAAGCTTGGAGGGAAAATCTGGAGTCTGGATGAATCCAACTCAACTTCAGCAGGTAAAAATGGATGAAGAAATAAATAATCCAGACTTTTTGCAGAACCATATTACCCTCTGGTGTCCTTACAGATAACCAACAGCAGTGTAGATACTGATGTCTTACTCTTCCCTTGTTTCATCCAGTGCCAGATGCTCTGTTCTCCCTTGGGGGTCAGAGGATTTACTCATGAAGTTCAACTCAGGCAGGCATCCTGTCCCATCTTGTTGGTGTTTTCTCCATTTTGCACATTAAAGCCACTGACTCGACCAACAATTTAATGTTTTGTAGATTGTGTTCATTTGATTTATCCAGCTGTGATGTCTGTACACCGCAGCCTTATAGGTCCAGGAGGTACAAACTAGTAAACAGTTGCAGCTTCTGCAATAATGCACCCATGCAGGCTACAAGATTTGCAACATGAGAAATAGCTGTAACTATTTGTTAGAAGTATGGCAATGATTTTCTAGTGCTCATGTGACTTTCACCTGGTGGAATTCAAATAGCTAAGCTGTAATCAAATGGGAAAAGCATAAGAAAACCAATTAACACTGTATTTTCTTTGAGGTTG